AGAGTGGAAAGCAAAGAGCAAAACAACTTTGAAGAAACAAACAGCAATTCTCAGAACTCCAGTGGTAAGTGTGTTCGCTCCCTCCTGCTCTTGCTTACCACGTCCCTCTGCAGAGCAGGATTCAGCTGTGCTTGGTGATTGTTTCTATATTCGGGGTACCTTCTTTAAGCTTGCAGGCAGCTAGCCTTCCTGGGGTAGTGCCCTCTTCTCTATCCTCCCCAGGTGCCTGGCACTCCTGTAAAATGATGATGTGGGGATCCTGCTCCCAAGGTCCATGTACTTTAGCACAGATGTTTCAATGGGGAGCAAAGATGTAGAGAAAGGGGAATATGAATGGAGATAAAGCAGTACTCGTTCTTTGTCTGTGCATCAGTGAAGTCCTTGTGAAGCAAAGCCATTTGCAACAAGCAAGAGAACTTTGAGCACTACGAGTAGAACAGCAGTTTGCTCGTTACAGTGATGCTAAGTGGGGCAGTTTATTCACACGTCACTGTAACCAGAGTCCAGCTGTTTGTGAGTTTGCTACACAGAGGTCACAGCGTATGGGATGTATAGATGTGGGACCAGAATACAGGTGCTAGAAGGAATTCAAATTTACTCCACTTCTGGAGTTTCTTTTGAGTTTTAAGTCCAAGTGGTAGTAACTAACCATAGCCACTGGCCTAGTCAAATTTGTTTAGGTACACCATTTATAGTTTTCTTTACAAGATTTTTATCCTGCCAATGTATCCTTCTGCCTTCAAGTGGACACTGCCGTTCTCTTATGCTCCCTAATTGGAGCGTAACAGACAGACTAGACGAAATGTAATTCTGGCATCTTGATGCAGAGATAAATAACATGACAGCAGAAAATGCTGGTCTCCCTCCATTCCCCATACAAGAGTACCAAAACGTGGTGTTCGCAGCATTGCAAGCTGGAGTGGACAGGTAAGGGAAGGGATTTCTCCCTGGAGCAGGTTACACAGCATCTGTGGTGGGGGGTTTATGTCTGCCTCTGAAGCAAGTAAGGGGCTTTCTGGAACCACACTGAAAAGGAATGAAGTAGTGTTGGAAAACCCATGTGCAGTAGCAGAGTGGGTGACAGTGAATGGGAAAAAAGTTGTTTGTTACTAAAATACTGCGTATTATGTTTTGGGGAACAATCCTGTACTAATCCAAGCATTCACCACAATTACAGCTGTTCATTCGGGGACAGAAAAACCTAAAGAAAAGCGGTGTAAGCAGAACCCATCAGGTGAGCTTCTCTGTGTGTTTCAGGCCCTTGTCCCCTTCAGTCCTGTTCCGCTTGGGTAGCAGCAGTCAGGAGTCCTCAGGGGCTGGCCAAGGCTGTCCTCAGTCAGCCCAACCAGGCTGTTAGCCGTGACACAAAACCAGGGTAGTTCACTTCCTGCCAAGAGTTCCTAGCCTGACTTGCAGCCCTGAAAGCGGCCACTTGCCTCTCAGCAGGTCTGCTCCTCGTCTCTTGTCTTGTGGGGGTAGTATGAGTGGTTTGTCTGAAGGGTTTCAATGTATTATACCAAATGCCAATATACCATTTGGGTTCCTGGCTCCTCTGGGGCCCTTTGAAAGCAGCAGCCTTAGATTGTTCCTTTTCTTTTCCAGTCAAGCCCTGTATAGCCTACAGAGGAATGACAGAATTATCATCCTTCATATCAGAGAGCTCATCCATAAAGCCAAGAAAGCTGCAGGAGGGGTAATGAACCTCTAGCATGGGAGGGGTCCAGGGACCACTGATAAGAAGCACACACAAAAAGAGTGTGGCTGTATGGAATAGTCCAAGACTTTATTCTGTCCAAACTGCTATTAAATACTGACCCATTGTTGCTGTGAAACATCTCACAGGTACTCCCTGCCATCTCCTTGTACCAGCTCACATCACTCTCATGCTTCTGAATCTGTTTCTATCTGAACTGCAACATTTAAAGCACGAATAAAAGCTCACAGGGAAAAACCAAAACAAAGCCAGAAATCCTTACAAATTGAGTAGTGAGTTTCATATGATTTGCTCATCTTATTTCATTGTAAGACGTGTTTCTGTCTGCACCACATGTATGGTCGGTTCATTTTAGTGGCTTAGTCTAGGGCCTGGCAGGCTGCAGGGGAGTTGCAGGGTGCTCACCTAAACTTTCTGTTTGAGCCAGGAAGCCTGGGGAACAGGATTGGGCTGCTCAGGACTGGTTTGAGGGGAGCTGAGCTCCTGTTGGAAGCAGATCCTTTCTGCATTAGGCAGCTGACACACTCCTCAAAGCCAGACTGATGCATGGGGATTGATAAACTTCCCTTATCTATCCCGCATCCTCCTCAGCCTGCTTTCCCCCCTTGACTCCATCTTTGTGCTGCTTCCTATGTGTCCCATTCAGCACTCTTTGCCAGCCCTTGCACCAAGCCATTTCTTCTCTTTTATTTCTTCTTCTCAGTTGTCAGTCTGAATGTTCTCATTGATAGCAGCCTGAGTGAGCATCACCATGTCATGTGAATGGCACTGGTGATGAGAGAAGCCATGGAAAGCTCTGCAGGCATCTGCGTGCTTGCGTGTCCAAGCAGAGCTCTCAGTAACTTCCTTTTTGAAGAGCTGACGTGTCCTTACCTCCCCATTTTCCTTCTTTCCATGGCTGTGTTTCGGTAGGTGGAACAAACTATGTGGCTCAGTGTTTACACGCGTGATGTGAACTCTTGGGAGCAATTTGGGCATTGCTGGCTTCTCCAGCCAGCAGATTTCACACAGGCAGGGAAGCAGTTGGTGATAATCTGGTTGAAAATGACAGAACGATGGACACTTCTGGCCTCCCCGCCCCCATCTGCTGCTCAGCACCAAAACCCTCCTGCTGTAAAGAACAGTCCCCAGCTTTGGGAGGTAAATATAGGTCCCAGCTGAGCAGCCTGAAAGCTGCGTGGCTTGGCCTCATTAAATGCTTGATTCCCTGTACTACTTGCTCTTTGTGGATGTGAGTTCTGTGTCACAGGCTCCATTACACAGTGGTATCAAACAGAGCAGCAGTGGTTCATCCAGACTGCTTCATGTCTGGAGTGAGGGGGAGGACAACGAGAGCAGGAAGGTCAGCAGCTAAAGCCACCTAAAATAGACTTGGATGCAATGCTGTAGGGAGTCCTAAGTGGGAATAAGACAACTAGAAGGGAAAATGTCAGATTTCAGATGTCTCTTCCCTATGCACAGCCCCAATCCTTGTCATAGTGAATGCAGGTACCTGGTATCCTTATCTGAGTAACCTGGCATCTTACTGCCCATAAAATTATGATGGTTCCTGTTCTGCTTGGCACACACAACTGCATGGCTGCCTTTGAGTCCATCTACTGGCAGAATGTCCTTTTCCCAGCAGACCACAATGGAGCCACAGAGCAAACGGAGGACTGTTTAGCTGCCA